CGAAATCTTTCAATATTTTTCATTATGTGAGTTGGTATTGTTTTTTGCATAGTTGGTCTAACTTCATTTGTTCTACATCACACCAGACATCACAACATTTCATACTATTGCGACTAAAGGAAGATTTTCGGCAAACGTGAAGACGTTATATGTTATTAAACGAATAATTTCAAGATATAATTTCACTGATGAACAACTATATACATAGTGTGCCAACTCTATATCTTGTATTTTTTCGGAGAATTTTGTGAAATTTACGATACAAAAAGAAGAGAGACATAATTTTTTTCAAACTTACGGATTAGGTCGAAAAAAACTATGTCCGTCGACCTCGGATCGTATGAACGAGTAAGTTTAATGTTATTGAAATTGATCGTTAATGACCCCTATATTAATGATCAATTGTCTATTAATGGATGATTGTAGTATACGCAACCAAACAAACACCGCATCCATTCGATGTTTGCACTATATCTTACGGAATCTGCAAATCTAAAATATGGATTTCATCCTTGATTATATCATTGAGTATTCACACTTATACAATAGTGTGAATACTCAAAGATTTCATCGAAGATTATACTTTAACAGGTTAGCCTTTTAACGTTCCTGAAATGATTTTAAACTCTGTTTTCTAACTAAAGGAATTTATTTTCCATGTATGTTGATAATTTCGACAAATGTCAAATGACACTAAAAGTTGACCTTTTCCTTTTGAGAACATTCTATGACAATTTACTGCGAATGAAGCAATGAATAATAATGGAAGGCAGCAGTGATGAGAGGAAGTATGGAAATGCCCTGTCGAAATTTCCGATGCAGCATCATCTGATGATGCCACAGCATAATAATTATTACCTGAAATTTAAAGAATATAATGTTTGATTTGTTCATAATTTGATATAAACAAATGCAAAACTTTTGATTTTGGCTTATTCGTCACAACAATAGGAAAATGTCGAATCTACCAGCGGCTTCTTCGATCAAAAATAGGAAGAAAAGTTTCAAGAAGTCGAGAAATGTATATCCTAAGGGATCTATGGCCCCCTGAAAGGAGCTCCTGAAGATAGTATTTCTTGAATATTTCCGAAACGCCACGTGATACGTACGTACAAGAACTAAAACTTTCCATGCCCAATGCGGTGAACATAAAATCATTTCAGAGTTTCATTCTGGAGTGTATAATACAGGGTGGGACTTCATTAACTACAGCTCAAACTTTTTCGTATGCATATTTTTTTGACAATAATTTAATCTCGGATTATGAAAATCCACACCATTCCACAAAAAAGTGCTCTTGTTCCGCATCGATCAGATGTATAATTCTCGAGTGAAATTGATTCAAAAATATTGTTGCACTCATACATATTATGCATAACATGGCCAATTTTCGAACCATAGTGGCTATAAAAAAATCAAGTATTTTCTTTTTACCAAATAATCCCATGAAAGCGCGAAGAATAAGAAAATGATGATGAAAAAACTATACTTATATTTTCGTGCATTTTTTTTCCTCCTCTATTACGTCTCATTGCAATGTTTTGCATAATATCTGAGACGTAACAATATTTTTAAATTGTTTTTACCCGATGATAATACATCTGATCGTCACTGAACAAGAGTATACCTTTTGTCTGTAAAGAGGTGTGAAATTTCATAATCCGAGATCAAATTGTCGAAAACTATGCATAGGTATAAAAATTTTGACCAATATTCAATGTAGTCCCACCCTGTATTATACACTCCTGATTGAAATATTGAAATGAGTTCTTGTACCAAATTGCAGGTGAAGTTTGGCAGGCTAATTTTGGGACAACCTGTATACCCTGTGGAGCATGTAGGTAGTATGCACATACTTCATGCTAAAAAGTAGATACTAGCAATCATTTTGAGGAAAATAATTTTATATACAAGTAGAATACAAAAAAAATCTTGTTGTCTACAACTCCTAGACTTTTTACAAAACAATTCAGTCTTATCGGATAAGAAATTCTCATGTATCACTATAGCCTCTCGCATCCGAATCAATTTTTGATTATCTTCCACTTGCGACTTTAAGTATCAAATATCTTATCCAATAATCTTGAAGATTGACTGTTTCTATACGGAGAAAGAGTCACTCGAAAATCGAAATCACAATCTGTCTCGAACTTTGGTTTTCCTTGATTATCCACTTGACTGTATCGGTGATGAGTTGATCGCGAAAAGTCTGATCCATTCTGGAGGAGTCTTCTCAGATGATTATAATGAAGAATGAAGTGTTTGTGTATAACATGAATCCCAAAATCCAAATCCAAAGTAAGTGAGTAATAAATTCGAAAATATTGTCTGTAGGTTAATTCATTGTTCCAGATTTTTTTGGGATTTTCTCTCCACGTCTCTATAAAATAAAAATATGAATACTATTTCAATATACATGTAGTGAGGATCGACAAATCAGATGATTTGCATCAAAATGTCACTGCTTTTAAAGAATTTTCCTATCAGATAGCCTAAAAGAAAAACTCACCAGCTTGTCAGTGACAATTTGTATTGAAAAAGGTTTGGAGAAGAGAAATAAAGGTATAGAAAAAATATAAAATTTTCACTTATCTTCGGATATTTCGGGACGAATCTGCTCCCGTTTTCAACATAAAAAATGGATTTTTCGTATGGCAAATTCGTATTTGTCTTCACACGTCACCAATTGTTACTGAGAACTTTCAAGTGTCAAGACAGATACGAATTTGCAATACGAAAAATTCAATTTTTATGTTGAAAGATGAAGTAGATTCCATCCCAAAACGATGATAAGTGAAAATTTGATATTTTTTTTATATATCTTTTTCAATACAAATCATCACTGACAAGCTGGTGAATTTTTGTTTTAGGCTCTCTGATAGGAAAATTCTTTTCATTTGATTTGTCCTCACTACACGTTTATTGAAATAGTATTCATATTTTCATTTCATATTAGAGACGAGGAGAGAAAATCCCAAAAAAATTGATCTCATGTATTCTTATCTTATTTTTTACGGGATATCTCGTTAATTTTTTATTTTTGAAGGTAGAGATTTACGGTTTTAAAAAAATTTCATTGCCCAATTCGTTTTTGAGATTCAGGACGAAATTGGAAATATTGCATTATAGGACCCCCCTGTACCTTTCAACCTACATCTATTGAATATGAAACTGTCTCATACATTTTTTTACGTAGAATCCAGTGGCGTCGTCAAATTTCCAATAGAAGCAGTCGTTTTTTTGGATAGAAACCAAAGTTTAACATTTTCAATATAACTGTGCGTACACAGTAAAAATTTTCCGGTCTATACCTTTGTGAATTGTGTAACTATTTTATTGCTATACCCTTCAAATTATACTGACACAAAATGTCTCAGAAATATGGAAAATGTTCGAGAAATACTGTACACAATTTTGACAGAATTTCAACCAAATAGAGTTCTTGATGAAACCAATTGATGTACATTTCTATTTTGATGAAAAGCTTCACTCAATAGGCATTATAATACATATAGAAGATATTATGAGTATTAGCCCAGTATTTCCTTATTTTCTTATCTCTTGAAGCGCACGATTGGGAATCCCTATAATGTTTGAATAGCGCCTCGTATTATTTTTTTAACTTTTGGAGATTACAAATTCTTGGTAAAGAATTTCAATGCTCTGTCGTTCTATTAGACGAACAAATTTTGGTTACGAGTTGTTCGGCAACATTTTCCACTTTCATTCCATATTTATTTTCAACTTCACATATTACATATTCAATTCATATATGTTTATCATGGAAACCATCCATATTTCTCAAAGTGGTCCAATTGTTTTTATAAGAAAAAACAATAGAAGTCCCAAAGTCTGTCGACCACGAAAAATTATTCATATAAGTAGAGAAATTAGTTTCGGCCACAGGCCATCATCAGACACAAAATTGATGTATTCAAAGTACCTGAAAGATCATTATGAACTTGGTGAGGAATCAAAAAGAGTCATATTGTTATATTCACCTTCTTGCTGGTTACTAGGTCATTTTCACCAACATGCAACATTTATATCAATATAAATTTATTGACTATTAAAGCTATGGACATAAATATATACTAAGTAGGTAGCCGACTATAAAAAAAGCATTTTGGTCATCAACCTAGCGAATAATCCAGAATATGATAACTACGAGAAATCGAATGTGGTTTGGATATATTACAAAGTTCTCTCCAATACGAAAAAAAGGAGCAAATATTCGCAGCAACCGCATGTCTGTATCAGTGTATCTTTAAAAATGAGCGAGATATTCCATGACTATCATTGCACAATGGGATCAAAGATAATAATTACCTATAGGTACATACGTTCGAATACTTCAGACTTCAAAATTGAGACACATGTGTAGAATTGAAATAGAAACAACTTCTCCAAGTGAACGATCATGAAATTCAAACCATAAGCCTTTTCCGCGAGTATTTTGAAAAATAGTAAATTTTGACATGTAACTAAAGTCATGTTATACCCCGAAAAAGTGAGCCCTATTTCATCTTTTTTGAAGTAAAACCTAACACCCAAGTTGAAAGAGTTTTTCCCATATAATATGATGCCAACTTTCAGAAATACACCGTATTATCTCTAATTTCTTTATGAATAACCTTTCGGTCAGCTCTAAGGGCCCAGGGCATTTGTTTCATGACTAATACACCTAATTTCCCTCGAAGCCGCGGCAGGGACCCACCGACTTACCGCCTGCGTAAACCCCTCCCTAAGGGCCTAGTACGTTCGAAGGGTGGAGCTAACCACTCTCAAAGGGTCCCACGACCAATGGCGCGTCGGCATTGCGACCTAAGTCAAAAGGGCTTCATTCATTTCGGCGATTTGAATGATTTTCGGCGTTTAAAAGTCTGTTGTGAATTTGAGGCAACTTCAAACGACATCGGGTAGTCAGGTTGTGAAGCTGGAATAGTTTTTTGGTGGTGGAGTTTTGAAATTTAGTTAGTGACTGTGTAGGAATTTTGACGATGATTAGTACTAGTGTGCAACAGAGTGCCGATATGATGCATCTGGAGCAGCATCATCTGCAAATGAAGCCGCAGAGTCCATCCTCATCAAGTAAGTTTTCAGGGTTGTTTTAATCTGCTACTATATATGTGACCAGATTCCTAAGTCGTCATCACTCACTGTTGAATTCAATTATTATCATTAGCGATTTGTAAACTTACTATCTCAATCAAAACAAATACCAATTGGAAAAATAATGTAACCAATGTTATTGTTTAGCAGTTTATAATAATTTCAGTTCTATAGATACATTCATTTATAACCAGTAAGAATTGGCCTTCCTCGAAATTGAAGGTAATCGAAAATTGTGGATACTTATCAACAAAATATCGCTAATAAGAGAATCAATGGTTGTTAAATGTTTTTCAAATTTATTTTTTTGCAATAACTACACGTATTTGGACATAATATACCTATCTGTATATACCGTATACTCTAAACGTTTTTAAATGTAGTAGATACAAAAATATTAAGATTGTTTTACTTAAAAATAATATGAAAGGAGCCAAATTATATTGGTGGAAATTAAGTGGAACCCCTCTGGAATTCACATTGAGATAAATAGATGTATAGGTATTACCAAATTATGATGATGCGTCATTATAGTTGATGATTTTCATAGATTGCCACACTTTCGTAATACAGATATTAATTTTGATGCCAATATTCGAAAAATTGTTCTTTTTCAGAACAACTGAATATACCTGTTGATAGTGTTGATGGAGATTGTTCTTTTATAACCGCCCCATATTTCATAATAATAATAAAAAAATTGGGGGGAATCAAAATGTGAACGTGACCATAAAACAAAAGTGCTCGGAGAACTCACGTGAACAACCTGTTTCTTATTGAAGTTCCATTATTTTATGCATATGTTTGTTCGGATGGAGTATTTGAACTGAATTTTGAAATAGATATCTTCAACCGATTGAGCTGAAATTTTGTATATATCAAATGAAAGGGATCTTTGAGAGCAACTCGAGGAATAATGTGACGTCATTCTAAATCCAATATTCATTGCGGGATAGTTATTTTTATTGCACTTCTACAATATGGGTATCAAATGATAGGGCTTGTTGATAGTAGAGTAACTCGATTTACTTGTGTCAATAAACTAGTTCTAATTTAAAAGTGTATACTCTGCTAAGTTTTCATTTTAATTGGATATTTATCAACTTTGAAATGCCAAATAGAACTACCCTACTTCCAACACATCATCATTTTAAAGCCCTGCATCGTGTTTGGAAGACAGAGTAATTGATTAAAATCAATTAATACTTGACAATAATAATTGACAAACCGATATAGCCTACCATTGAGGAAGCTTACGCAAGATTATAGTGTCATTCAATGTTCAGTTCAAAGTGACCTCCATTAACTTGCAAACAATGATATATACGAACTTTTTTCAAATTCTTTTCGAATATTACTGAAGACATCTGGTTTTATTAATCGGCATTCTTCCATAATTCTCATACGTGGCACGTCTAGTATTTCAAGTTGCGTGGCATCAATCGCAATTTCAAATAACCTCATAAAAAAGTCCAAACGGGTTAGATCAGGTGATCTTGATGGCCATTTGATGAGACCGCATCTACCAATCCAAAGGCCTGGGAAATGACCATCTAAAAATGTCCGCACGATAACAGTATATATTGAGCGGGTGCACCATCCTGTTAAAAAATTATTTCATTCCATAATTATCTGTTTGCATTCATAAAAAAGTCATTGGACAATATAGCCTTCAAAATAGTTATGAATATATTATTGTGTATTAGATATAGAAACTTTTAATAAGTGCGCAATTTTGGTTATAAGTCAAAACGCGAATGTCTGTCATTTGAAAAGTATTGTCACGTATTGATTTTGTTCAATAACTCTGTCGAATCTCAACTGATTTCCGAAGACGATGTACCAAAGGATTCGCGAAAGAAATGGCTTTAAAATGATGTGCCGAAAGTATTTTAGTTGAGATAGAAATTTCAAAGTTGTGGTTGGGGGGATGAAAACATCAAGTTCGTTTAACTGTCAAAAATGCTCCCCCCAAATATAATAATCGACTGGTCCCGGTGGATTCTGGTATAGGATTCTACGTATACAGGGGAGGTCAAGTCAAGACCCTGTATATGTAGTATAGTAATTTTTTCCGTCGGCCGTCATAATGAAGAAGAAATAGCATTGTCTAGCAACAGTGTAGGTAATTTTATACCTCCGCTAGTAAAAAAATGTTTGAATGACAAATTGTAATGTAATGAATTGACCATATTTCACTTTTTTTTTGTTCGGTTTGTTTAGTGGTTAAACCACAGATTGAGAAACCTCAAATCTGTGATAAAACAGTGCGTAAAGCAACTATATTGTTAAATTGAGTGTCGCGTTTATCACTGCATTTTCTTTTGTCAATATCAATTATAATTGGTTTGAATACGAAGGGCACGAAATTTTGTTCTTGCTTTAATTTTCAATAAATAACAATTTACCAGTCTTTGATCCAATAGAATCCCGATAATTTTGACATTGTTGATGATTTTATTAACGAGCACGGAAAGTGATTTCCTACGAGAATGAAAATTGCAGCAGGAGCCATAGGTGAATGATGCTGCAATCATTCGAGAAGGAAATAGCATATCGTGCAAGATATACACTATAATTTTTCTACGACTGTAACAGATAACAGCGGCATTTTCGATTTCTTCTGCTTGTAGCCATCTGATTTCCTGTCAAGTAATGCTCATCTATTAGACATAGCCTGTCATTGCTTGAAATTTGACATTCCATGGGCGATGAGTTTTTTTGAAATAATAACACAATGGAGTCATCGTGATATCAGATACGGAAATGAAATTGATGACATATAAAGTACCTCATTGATGTATCGAACACAGTAAAACAAGAGCAATTTCGTGTTATAGCCGAAGAAAAATACTTATTTAACCCCTGAAAATATGGTCAATTGACCTATCCAAGATGCTGTCAAACCATCTAAATCAATATGGCCGACTGTAGGCACACATACTTTCGTGTGGCAATATCTTTGTTATAGCGGTCCAAGGATAATAAATATCCACTTTTATTCAAAACAACCATTATTATTATTTGATATATTTATCAAAGATTATACTGCTGCTACGTGAATCAACAAAAAATACTTGTGTGCCTACAGGCGGCCATTAGAAATTTGTCAAAAGTCACGTGTTCTGGAATGCCTAATTGAGGCGGGTAGTGTGAACATTATTTGACTTCTACAGAATAATAGAATCGTTTTGGCATACTTGACTTTGGGATGTTATACTGATACCATCACTGTTCAAACAAATTGTTTTTAACGTTTATGCGTCAATCAAGCACGTGTAATAATCTTGAATTTTATCGGATTTTCTGTACTTACTCGGAATTGACAATTCGTAGGCTGGGTTGTTTCCCAACCGAGAAATTCATGTTCTTATCTTTTGGTGTTTTAATCGGTAAGCAGTTAAAAGTATGAAGTTTTTATCGAATGTGCCTAAATTGCTGACTTTTACACTTGAAATCAGAAGATCATATAGGAACGTGATTTATTGATTGTGCGACACGGTCGCCGAAAAAATAATGTACTTTATACAAGTTTATAAGGAACACACCTGGAAAATATTTCATAACCCCGTCCAAAAATCAATATTCATCTATAAAAAAGGGAAAAAAGTAGTAGATTTTGGCTCGAGGTTGTGTTGTCTGGACGCGTAGCGGAGGGAGACAAAAAACTGTGAGCTAAAATCTTATATTTTTCCCGTGTATAATACACAATTTTTTCCAGTGACAGGAAAAACGACGAATCAATATTGAGAAGATAATACATTATTATAAAATCAGGAAATCATCGACGTGAAATTTTTAACAGGAATTACACCTGCGTTGCAAGAATCTGCTTGCAGGCATTATTATCATTCTTTTGAAGTAATCAAATTTCTGTCAGTCTAATTCTGTGATTTGATTTGAAAAAAATGCGAACTTAGTGGTTGTTTAGTAATGTTGAATGAAAGATAAAAGGACTTGCAGTTCTTTTTCGGAGACAAACAATATCATAAAAGCGCAAAAATAGGGAAATGATGAAAAAACTACGTCAATTTCTGTGCACTTTTTTCCATTTCCACTACGCCTCTACAATGTCATGGTTATGCGTAATATCTGAGGTGTAACAATATTTTCAAATTGCTTTTGTTCAATATAAAAAATTTATAGGTTCCCCAATTTCCAACACCCACTCAATAATTTTTTTAAAATTTTCTCTCCGTAAAAAATATTGGTACTATCATGAAGAATAATTATACTAAATTTTTTCTTTTATTTTCCAGGCAGGATTTTGGACATTCCCTGCAAAGTCTGTGGAGATTTCTCTTCAGGCAAACACTACAACATTTTCGCTTGCGATGGCTGCGCGGGATTTTTCAAAAGGTCCATCCGAAGGAACCGACAGTACGTCTGCAAGGCAAAAGACGAAGGATCCTGCGTCATCGACAAAACCCACAGGAATCAATGCAGAGCTTGCAGACTGCAGAAATGCCAGGAAGCAGGAATGAACAAAGATGGTAAGAGAAACAACAATATATAAGACACTTTCAGGTTTCCGCATTGACTTATCACAGTCAATTGATCACCAGATGCATTTGATTGATTCATAATATCTAATGATCCAAATGCTTGACACATTATTGGTAGTGGTTGTTCAAAAATAACGAATTAAAATAGTAACAAAAACCCCGGTTTCATTTATTTGTGGTTGGAAACAGCAATAGCATTAAACTTCAATTCTTATATTCTGCCTTTACACTTATATTATCCATCTTTTGAATTAGGATGACTGCCAATTTCAAGCCATCAAAAACCAGAAGGGGTGTAGAGTATAACGATTTTCCAGTTCTTGAGTCTTAATGACTCTACAGTCGAGTGTTCCTATTTGGAAATAATTTTTCAGTACTCGTAACAGTTTCATAATCTTATAACCTGAATAAGAATCCATCAATAAAAGCTAAAGAAACAATAGCCTCCTTCGATCAAACTAACTTTAACGTCGAGTAGGCATTCCACTCGAATACACCAGGTGTCACAATAGTCACGAAGTTGTTTTTCTTGGCAATATTGAGCCCTAGAGCTCGAGTGCCACAGAGGGGTCGTGAGTTATTACAATTTCTCAATGGTAATTTTGTTTTTACAGCAGTGCAGCATGAAAGGGGACCACGCAATTCTACGCTAAGAAGGCAACAAATGTCCAACTATTTCAACGAAGCCAGAGAGCGGATGATGGTATCACCACCTTCCGGTGCTTTGAACTTGGCCATTCCCAAACCTTCTTCATCACCTGTTATGGAAAGTCGATTCCCGTTTCTTCCACCAGCAGGATTCCTGTGCAATACAATAATAAACATGCCAAGGGTAAGCATCATTGTAAAATAAAAGAAAACCTAGAGATGTCAGAGCTATGGACTGCTTCGTGCTAATTAATATTATATACACAAAACACTCATATCAATTCTTCCTTTCCGTTACAGCTTCCAGTACCAGTTCCTGCAATGATGACAACTACACCATCGCTTCTCGACCCAGCAGTTATCTGCGAGGCTGCAGCTAGGCTTCTGTTAATGAACGTCAAATGGGCCCGAAGTATCCCATCCTTCACAACTCTGCTCTTCTCGGACCAGCTGATCCTCTTGGAAGAAAGCTGGAGAGAGCTCTTCATCCTTGGCGCTGTCCAGTTTCTTCCGATCAGCAACCTGGCAAGACTGGTAGCAGAGTGTGGTGTGCTAGAGAGACTCGGAAACCACGGAGCCTTCTTACAAACCGTGCAAGACTTCCAAGACTTGCTCATCAATCTCAGGCAGCTAGGCATGGACCTGCAGGAGTTCGCTTGCTTGAGAGCCATTGTCTTGTTCAAAACTTCCTTCGAAAAGGCGTCTGGTTCTTCTCCTATACAAGCGGAGAGCAAGGTGCTGAATGATCCTGGAAAGATAGCAGCTATCCAGGATGAGACGCAGCTGATGCTGAACAAGTACATCAGCACAGCTCATCCAGGGCAGCCACTGAGGTTCGGCAAGCTGTTGTTGTTACTGCCGACGCTGAGGAATGTACCTGGAGAGACCATAGAAGAACTGTTCTTCAGAAGAACGATTGGGAATATTCCGATAGTGAGGATCATCTGCGACATGTACAAATCCCAAGCAGCTCTTTGAGGAAAAATCTTATTAACAAGGCATACATATGCTATTGGTTGACCAGACATTGCGGTTTGGAAGAAAAACATTCATGAGGCATACATATGCACTTGAATGACCAAGTGTTTGAGAGGACTTTTTACACAAGCATACAGATGCAAAGGGCACTGCCAAAAATCACTGTGATGTATATAATAATTTTGCCGCCGGAACCCTACAGAGGGTTTCGGTGGCCCTGGGCACCGGTGTTGACTGCTGGTGCTGAAAAGCTTTATTAGATGAATATAAGAGTTATTTGAGAAATATTTTCGTATGAGAGAGTATAAGATTTTTATATGGTATTATGTGCTATCGTAGTACTGAATTCAGAGAATTCATTTGAGGATTTTCATTTGTAAATAAAAGGATTTATGATAAACCCATGTGTGTGTTTCTTTCCTTCTACCAATTGAATATAGGTTTGTACCGAATAGACGAAAAAGAATATTACCTAGTAATCAAAAATTCACGAGTTCTTTATAAATCCGGACATAAAAATAACTGACATTATCTCTTATTATCATGACATTCAGATCTGGAGGTACAGAGTGATTGTTTATATTTCATTAAATAGCTATCTTAGTCAATATTGGTCTTACAAGAAATTCAAAATAGGCAAATATGACGTTTTTTATGGGCATTCAGAATTCATTACTAAAAGACATTTAGATTCCATTATGTGTTCAATATCGTTGATATACGCGTATTCAGCTTCCTATGAAAAAAAACATACAATCATCAGATATATAGAATGTTTGACAAAACGATGATATATCGAAATTCATAACATATTGTATATGGTTAAATATGTTCGGAACGTTCTCACCTATCACGCTCTTTTCAGATATACGTCGGTGAACCAAACATCCTGTATATCTGAAGTTAGGAAGGGCTCTACCAATACGAAATAGAGAATACATTAAAGAAATACCAGTTTTTGTTCAGAAAAAATTACCCCACAGAACTTACGTCGGTGATTCAAAATGTTGTCCTGAAACAAAAGTGTAACCCGACCATTTTTAAATACCTTGAAAATATTACACAGTGAAAAATTACCATAATGATAAGTGGATTCCAAAAATCGAAATAAAACACACTGGAAACTGGGATTTGAATAACACACAAGAAAAACACTGGAAATCTGAGAAATTGGAATTTTGAATTTGAATACACTGTGAGTGACACTGACAATTGTCAAGAAGTAAGGTTGATATTACAGAAATCTGTTAGAAATTTGCCATCTTGTGGAGAAGTGAGAACTATTATGTCATTATTGATGACAATGAGGTGTAAGCGTTTTGGTCAAAGCAAAACACTATCAGTGTTTTCACCATCTTCTCTCCATCCTTATCACAGTTGTGTTATTCAACACTCATATGCAGACAAGAGAGCACCGCTTCTCAGCGTGATAAACATTTTCGCATATCATAATATTATCAGTAAAAGCAAAAACGCAACAGATACAGAGTGTCAAAGTAATCACCAAATGATTGTATAGTACACCACTTTGGTGTTGAATAACACGTACCGATCAAATTAGCACTAGGTACTCTATATATAGTGTACTTCTTGACTGTATGTTAGAACGAATACCACCCTATGATGGTACACAGGGGAAACCTAAGTGTGTTAGCTGATGTGAATTGGTGTATGAATGGAAAACAATTTAAATAATAATATTTCCACCAGCAAGCCTTTTGTCATATAGTTATGAAGTTAATTGTATAGGAATAGTTATTTAACCAACTAGTGTATTAATCGCCTTTTAATATACAAGTTGGTTACAAAATTTTTCCGTCGACTATATTCCTCATTTCTCCTGCAATGAAGAAAACTTGGTTCGCGAATTCATCATTCATCCGGAAACTGCTAATTATAAGAATCACCCAGTAGCCATGTTACTGACATTAGTGACATTTGACATTTGTAGAAAACTGGGCTTAAAATCGTGTTAGAAACTTGGAAAGGCGAACCCGTTAGCGAAAAATCTTCAATGAAATCCATATTTTCGATCAAGATGCAGATTCCGTAAGTTATAGCATAAACAATGAATGCACGCGGTGTATCTTTGGTTGCCTATGAAACAATCGTGCATTAATAGGCAAAGCAATGGGTAGATTTACCTGGAAGAAAATACAGGAGTTTTGAAAATTTGCAGATCGGTTGATCTTCATGACCCTAATAACACCTCAAGTTTGCGACCACGTCATACCGCCGCTGGCGCCGCCATATTGAAAAGATGGTACCCAAAATCAGTTTTTCCATGATATCTCTCTTCCAGTACCTCCTAGGTGAAAAATAGTGCTTATAAAATTTGTAGAGGAGAAAATTCTCTACAACTTTGAATGAATATATTTTTTTGTGCGACCAATGGTTAAGGAGTCACATAGGCATAAGTTATAGCAAATTATTCAACATCGATGATACAATAATGCTTGCGGTCCAGCAGTGCAGTTTTTTCACATATTCAATATTATTAGTTATATTCGTTGCTGAGAAGAACAGAGTGCAACGAATCTCTCGTTTCTATTTGTACAAAGTATATACAATACGTAACAAAATACTATGGTTCAAATTCAATCATTGTATTTGATGGATATCCAGCTGATGCTGCACAAAAAAGCAGTAAAAGTGCAGAACGTCTTCTACGATCAAAAAAGTTAACATCTGCGGATATATTGTTTGATGAATCGATGATAACGACATACCCACAATCCAGGTTCCTAGCCAACAATCACAACAAGAGTCGTCTTATATCCTTACTGAAAGATAAATTTGAGAAATCAAACTTTACTGTCCATCAGGCCATAGAAGACGCTGACACCTTAATTGTTAGGACAGCAACATCCACAGCATCATCTTCAAACTCTGTGTTTATCGTTGGAGAAGATATCGACCTACTGATACTTCTAGTTGCACTAGGAAATCATCATCCAAATGTTAATTTCTTGAAACCGGGCAAGGGGAAAACTTCAGAAAAGATTTACTCCGTACGAAGTATATATTGTTTTTACACGCCTTTAGTGGATGTGACACAACATCTGCCATTTTCAACCAAGGCAAGAACAAAAATTTCTCAAGATGATTATGAAATTCCCGGAATTGAATGAAATTATCGAAGTATTCAAGGATGAAACTGCAGACGCCAACGCAATTGCAGTAGCAGCAGAAAATTTCTTGATCAAACTCTATGGAGTATCTCAAAAGGATTCATCTCTGGATTTTCTCCGATATCAGCAGTTTTCGAGATCGGCGACAAAGAGTAAGTTCAACCTTGCTTCACTTCCCCCCACAGCAGCAGCGGCAAAACAACATTCATTCCGCACCTATCATCAAGTTCAAGCTTGGTATGGTGTTGAAAAAAATCCGGAAAAATGGGGATGGAAAAGGAGTAAGGTCGGACTCACTGCTGTTAGAACAACCAAAGATCCTGCTCCAGAAGTACTTCTGAAATTCATTTCATGCAAATTTAAAAAAGGATGTGTCTCAGTATGCAGCTGCAGAAAGGCGGGTTTGAATTGTTCGATAATTTGCATGTACTGCACAGGAAATTCTTGCGAAAAAATCGCAAACATGTTGATCGACTCTGATGACGAAGACCCAGATGATATCATTCTACTGCCGACGTTTGATGTTATAGACGAAGATTCCGGGGAAGATGAATCAGATGCAGAAAACACATACGAAATTAGTGTGAATCCAAGCGAACCTGGTCCATCTAGACTCTAGAGTATTGAGATGAAGCCAGCAATAATAATTGTTTTAGAAACATTGAAATGTGGATTAGGCCTACTGGGGGCACCATAATAAAAAAAACGCGCCATTACTCTACCTCAGGTGGTGTGAAAACGAGTATAAGTAATGATTACTGAATAACTAAACAAATTCTAGCGATAATTGACACTGTAAGGGAAGCATTGTACAATTTTACTAAGATTGCCCTGATTTATATCGATGCAACTCTGGAAATATTGATCCCAGAAAAAAACTTTTTTTACAAAATTTGTAGAGAATTTCCTGTCCTACAATTGTTGTGATACCTATTTTTTGTTTATGAAGTACTGAAAAAGAGATATCATGAAAAAACTGATTTTAGGTGCAATTTTTTCAATATGGCGGGGCTAGCGGCGACTTGACGAGGTCGCAAATCATACGCGTAACTGAGGTCATATATATGTACATGACTGCCAAGTTTCAAAACTCCTGTATTTTTTTCCAGGTAAAGCACTTTTGAGTCCCCCATTGCTTGGCCTATAATAGACAAATCGTTCATTAATAGGGGTCATTAATGAACGATTTCATATACATTAAACTTAGTCGTTAATACGAGGTCGACGGAAAAAGACATTTCACCATCACTTCAACAATTCGGAATTTTGATCAACAATTTCTCTCGCAATTTTCAAATGTTCGAGATTTATTTTCGCGATAGGCGCTAATCCCTTTGCTAACCCGTGAAACGAAATATTTTCTAAACAGAAAAGGATTGCCGTTTTGTGTCGATCCAAGAAAGGTAGCAATTTGTCAACAAGTTTCACGGTAGAACGGACACTATTTGAAAGTTAATACCGGGATAAAGCGGAATGAAGTGTTTTGTTCCCATAACTCAAAAGTTCCGACTTTTGTTTGCCAAAAACGGACAATGCTCATTAGTGATGGCTTTTCTGGCTTACTTCTCCTTCTTGCTTACCTGACATTACCAACACAATGGTCAGATTCGATCTTTTACCAAATCTCCGTTACTTTTTAAGTTCCCGATATCGGATTAGAATTTCAGAAATTTTAAGATGTGTCCGTTGCTGCTGGCTTTTGTTTGATTCCAAGAACATAATATGCGCCTTTTCATACAAAAAGATTACTACATCATAGCATTATACTCTGAGACCGACATATGTTTCGTTTATATGAACCTCAACTAGTACATCATGATAATTATACATGTTCTATTTGCTACATTTTATTATTGAGTGTCTCAGAGGAGT